CCACCCCCTACCCCCAAATATAATCCACTCTGCAACCCTCATTGCATACTCCTACGAAAAGTATTATATTTTAGGAAAACCTTCCCTTTGACTCAGGAGGGAGGGGTTCTCAAATACAAGAATTTGGTCTACCCTGAAGGATTACCTTGGTGCCTCAGGGTGAGCTCAAGCTCAGGAAGTAACACTCCCTCTGTAGGGGGCCCCTTGCTGTCTCCTGTCTGCAGGGAACAAACAGCTCATTTTCTATCATTGGCCACAAGAGAAATCCTAACTTATACATTTGTAATTCCTTCAATTCCTGAACAAGGGTTTTCATATAATGTTTGGTGTAAAATTTGGCTTCCCATAACTAGCCTCTCCTGATAACATATCTTCGCTTTGAGCACCCTTTAGGGATGTGTTTGTTCTGTAGGCAGTCCGTGGTCTATTCGGTACTCCACCAAAGGCATCAATTCTTTGATCTTACTCATTATCCAACTTGCACATGCATGTAAACCAACACACACACACACACACACACACACACATACACATATTATCCTTTAAACTGACATCTTGGCTTTTTAGCACTATAAAGAAATTCTTTCAGATCACATACATCCTGAACTAATCATTTGCTGAATCTGGACAATCTCCTACCTGCTTTACAACTTCAAAACTCACGGGAAGGTCAGTTCTGAGATTTGAGTTTTGTTTATCACCAAAACCCTTGGCCTCCTGTTTTTAGATGAAAGCTCAAATTCTTAAATTCCAAATTGGCCTTAAATATTTGAGCGTAGTCCAAATTACTCTTGACTTTCCTTAAATTTGCCCCAAGCACCTCCTGAAAGCTTCAAGATGAAGAATTACTATTTTTATACCTTTCTGCATTTGCATTATAACTCCCTTTCATGCAGCAGCTAAGAAGAGTGTCCAGTGAGGGAGAGAACAGGTTAAAAGCGATATATGATTGGGTGTTATGGTTATGACAAGAATCCGGAGTGAAGGTTGCATAGTGGCGTGGACTCAGGGCGGGTCGGGGGTCGGGGGGGGGGAGATTGTATACCAATGAAGGGATTTTTCTCTTTTCAAAGAGAAGGGTGAACTTGGGGGGAGGGGTGGGCAGGGAGAAAAATGCAACAATGAATGAATGGAAATCCAAAATCTCTGTAAATGTTCATTAAAATTAATAAAATTTTTTTTAAAAAAGAAGAAAAGAGTCCAAGCAAATTGAAAGGTTGACGGTTCGATCTCACGCAGCAGCTCTGGGATAGAAAAATGTGGCAGTCTGCTTCCACAATATTACTACTGTTAAGTACTTTTGACCTTTAGAGTCTGTCAGGACCTGGTGGAAGGCCTCTGTTTTTAAAAGGCGATTGGGCCCTCGGACCTGTGTCCTTCAGCCCTGGGACATCAGTTTGCTGTACTGAGGTTAACTTGGGGTTGCTTTGATACTGAACCCTGTGACACTGCTGTGTCCGGTGCCATAATGGTTACCCGTGGTGGCCAGTGTTTGGTGGAGCTCCCAGATTAAGACAGGCTTGGAAGCAGGAGTGGCATCCACTTCCTAAACAGCATGCCTCCGCAAGTTCTATGAACTTAGAGAAACGATGGTAGTTATGGAACAGGGTTTTTTTGGTCACTATGAGTCATGCTCGACTTGACAGCACTTAACAGCAACAATGTGCTTTCGAGTCAGAACCAGCTCACAGGCGATCCTCAGGATTTTCAGAGGCCGTAAATTGTACGGGAGTTGATTGCCCACCTTTCCCTCATGAAGCAGCTGACAGATTAGAACTGTGTCCCTTTGGGTTGGCAGAGCAGTTCCTTAGCCCCACAGAGTTGTCTTCTACTGTCTCTATAACATTAGAAGCCAAGAAAACCATAAAGGTCGATTCTTTTCTGTCCTGTAGAATCACTATGAATAGGAGTCGAATCCGAGGTCTTCGCTCGCCAGTGGCCTGTTGAATGAGAAATAATGATGCTTCCTTTTGGGTTCCAGGAGCCTTGTAATGTCTCAGGAAGGCAATTATGGCAGGTGGACCATATCCAGCAGCGATGACAGTGAGGAGGAAAAGCCCAAGCTGGACAAGCCGTCCACCTCCTCCCTCCCCAAGGCCACACAGGGGATGGGGAACGAGCCAGGCTACACCTGCTCCGAGGCCCGGCGAGCCGCCCACAGAAGGAAGATGTCACCCGTGAAGTTCAGCAGCCCCTCGGAGTCGGCGTCTCCCACCTCCTCTCCCAAAAGGCAGAGAAGCGGCTCCCAGGAGGAGCTGGGCTGGTGCCTCTCCAGCAGCGATGAGGAGCTGCAACCAGCGCAGGCGGGGAAAGCGGATGTCAAGGAGGAGAAGGGCCCGTTGGCTCCCCAGGGCCACGCCACAGAGAGGACTGGGAGCCACGGCCCTCCCGTCAGGCTCAAAGAGGAAGAGAAAGACGAGTATGAGACGTCAGGGGAGGCTCAGGACATCTGGGACATGCTGGACAGAGGGAACCCCTTCCACTTTTACCTCACTAGGGTCTCGGGCATTAAGCCAAAGTACAACTCCGGAGCCCTGCACATCAAAGGTGAGGATGGGGGGGGACCACTTAGGGGTGTCCTAGGTAAAATCAGGAGCAGCCTAGCCTGGCACCAAAACACCTTTGTAATCTCATTTCTCATGGAAAACAAACACCAAATTCCCCTTTGATAAACAGTTGTGGTGAGTTGACAGTGAACTGTTTACTTGCCTCCCCCCCCCCTTGTCACCCTTCCTGCAAAGCTGTTTGAGCTGAGCGCTCAGGACTGCTTCCTTTTGAAGTTAGTTATTAGCCATGGTCAGTAATTCTTGGTTAGTAAAGCAGCTGGTCACAGAGCGCATGCGTGACCACAGTGATTTACCTGTGGTCCCAGAACCAGCAGCATCACGAGCAGCCAGGAGCTTGATAGAAACACAGATTCTCAGCCCCACCACAGATCCAGTAAATCACTAGTTCTGGGGATGAGCCTTGGGGGGGTCTGTGTTAAAATCAGCACCACAGGACCAGGGACCCAGACAGGCTGGAGTCCCAGCCCCACTCACTGTACTGACGGTTAAAGAACCAGACACTCTGCTGCAGATTTCAGACCCTTTGGAGCCGTCAAGTCAGCTCTGATGCTTAGCAATCACATTACAACACGTTGAGACTCTGTCTGGTCTTCACTATCTTCACTCTGTCCAGTCCATCTCGTTGAGGGTCTTCCCTTCACTCATTCTCTGTTTTTCCAAACATGATGTCCTTTTCCAAAGAGTGGAACGCTTGGCTTACTGTCAGATGGGAGTATAGAACGAGAGAAAATGCATCAAGTTAGACACAATAAACATCCTTGACCTTTCCTTTTTGGGAGTGTGATTGTGGGAGCAGCACATTCCAGAATTACCATGCCTGCTCTCAGCAGGTGTGTGGGAGACAGTGAAATTGGCTCAAGATAGGGCAGTGTTCAGAGCTGTTGTGCATGGGGTCGCTGTGAGTCACAGGTGACTCGACTGCATATAACAACTGTCAGCAGAGGGAGCTCTTGTGGCCTAGTTGTAAGAAACGGCTCTGTAATTCCGAAGGCCTGCAGTTCGAATCCACCAACTGCTCCGACGGAGAAAGATGGGCAGTCTGTTGCCTTGTAATTCACTGCCTCTTAAAACCTGCTGGAGGGTCAGCCGTGATTTGGTTTCAGCTCCACAGCACATGATGACAACTGTTGGTAGAGTTTAACTGTTGTTTGTGTGGGGGAGTCCATCTCGTGCAACCCCACAGACGCAGAACAGACTCGCTCCGAAGGGTGTTCAAGGCTTGGCTTTCTAAATTGGATCTCTGGGCCTGTCTTCTGAGACCTTGGGCAGGATCTGAAGCAGATATCTGTCCGCTAGTAATTGGACACTTGACTGTTTGAACCAACCAAAAACTCTACACATCCATTGTATACTGAAGATATCATTGTACACTTCTCCTGTATGGTGCTTAAACATTGGCGTATTTAATTCCATGTTGTACAGAGTTCAGGTCTCCAGGCTCTACTTTTTAAATAAGAGTCTCTTGTCCAGATGCTTTGAAAAAGGTCTGAGACAGTTTTCAGTGTTTGTCTTGCTTGAGAGAGAAAATAGAGAAGTAAGAAAGGGCTACTGTACATACAGTGACGGGCTGGCAGGAATGACTGGTGCTGAGGGAGGGCGGGAGCTTTTAGGGAGCCCTTAGGATGGACCAGTTGTGACAGAGATGGTGAGGCCAGCAAGTGAGGTTCAGATCCTTCACAGAAGCAAACTTCATTGGCTCCAGTGGAAACCCATCTGGCTAGTGTAGAACTGGGGCGGG